GTCTCCAGTACCCAACAGTGATGAGCACAAAATACACATCTGTGTACTACCTGACAATTTGGAGAAGATCAGCACCTCCTGTGTGGCTTCACCTTGAAGTTAGGATTGAATTACAGTCAGCCCTCCATATCCACCAGTTCAACACCTGAAGATTCAACCAACCATGGATAGAAAATTTTTTTTTAATTCCAGAAAGTTCTAAACAGCAAAACTTGAATTTGCTGCACACCAGCAACTGTTTACATAGCATTTACACTGATTTATAACTATTTACATAGTATTTACTTTGTATTAGGTATTATAAGTATTCTGGAGATGATTTAAAATATACAGGGAGGATTTGGGTAGGTTATATGCAAATACTACATCATTTGATATAAGGGACTTGGGCATCCTCAGATTTTGGTATCTGCCAGAGTCCTGGAACCAATCCCCATGGGTACTGAGGGATGACTGTATTTCCTACCACTCTCAATAAATAACATTTCATTTGGTCTCCAATCTCCAACCTTTAATAATGTCTTCCAAGAGGAAGATGAAGTTTCCCAACAAGGTTCATTTATTCTTTGGCCCCTTCCTCGATGTCTTCACATGTTTGATAAAACTCAGCAAAGGCTTTATTATAAAATCCAGATGAAACCACCTGGGTTTCAGGATATAATTGGAAACTTGGTTGCTTTGATGCATGCAAAGGAGAAGAAATAAAGTCAACTATAAGAACACAAAGCTTAATATATGAAAAATGTTCAAACTTTGTAATTACATTCAGATAGGGAAGTACACGTTTTCCAAGAAAAACAACCTGCTTCCTCTAAGAGTTTAGAGTGTCTTTCAGAAGTAATCAGTACTCCAGTGCAATGGATGCTCAGGAAAATACATGATGTAAGCATATTTTCTTTGTTTGGCATGAAGAATGTGTTTTAACCAGCATTTAAAAGTTCAGGTACTGGAACAAGACAACTTGGTTCAAATCCCAGCTTTGCTCCTTACTGGGTGTGTGACTGGAATTAGTCACCTAATCTCTCTGTGCTTTAGGTTCCCCAGCCATAAAATGATGATAGTTAGTATCTACCTTATAGGATTATTGAAAGGATACAGTGAGTTAATACATTTACAGAGCACATGAAACAGTGCCTGTATGTATTTAGTGCTCAACAAATTGTAATTATGTTGCTGTTGCTTTAAAATAGTAGAAGAGAAAAAGGCCTGCCTCTTTTTGAGTTTGTGGAATGAAGGAAGCCACATGTCTATTGTGAATTGCTCAAAATACCTGAGGTAGAAACAAAATATATCAACCAGGGCTTTCTATACCTCTGTTCAAAGACAGTATAAAAAAACACATGGCATGAGTGGGGGGCAATTTTCAGAAAAATTAGCTCTCAACTAGTATTATTGAGATATTTACCCATTTCTACAGAGGAGTAAGTAGCCTGGAACAGTCAATGTCAGGATAATGGCTTTGTTCTGTATACATAGTAAAACAAATGTTTTTTGTTTTGGAGTTTCCTAGTTAAAGGTTAAGGAGATTACTTAACTTGTAACTTGGAATTTATAACTTTCTTTATTCCCTGCTTGGAAGGTTGCTTGTGAAATCTGACAGTAAACCACTAGACAATTTTCTTAATAAATGCATATATCTTGCCAATTAGCACACAATGTAGAAAACCTAAATTTATAGAAGTACTCACAACTGACATTTAGCTAGACTCATTTTCCAAGAGAAAGAAAGTGAGAAATTACGGTTAATATGAAAATGACTATCATTTGTTGAGCACTTATTGTTGTGTCAGGCCCTGTTCTGCATTCTTTACCTCTATTATCTCAATCAATCTTCCAAGAATCTTTCAAGATAGCTATCAGATAGTAACTGATGCTAGCTAACTCTGACAAATAAACCCCCAAACTCAATGGGGGAACTCAGTATAGGTTTGCATATTACTGAATAATGTTTGATGCAGGTCACACAGCTTTCCTGGGGAGCAGGCCTCTAAAAGATGCCTTGAGGCGTGGAGTTCCTTCTATTATAGGGCTTCAGCACCTCTGAGTCTTTTGCTTCTTGCCCTGTAGACAGGGAGAAAGAAAGAATGTGGCGTAGGTATACCGGTTTCTACCTACCTCAGCCCACAGTTAACCTACATTACTTCTGCTCAAATCCCATTGCCCAGAAATCAGTCACATGGTCAACCAAACTACAAGAGAGGCTGGGAAATGGTGAGGAAAATGTAGACACCAGTAAACACTTAAAGTATCCTCTATAGTTTACCCTCTGGTCACCAAATATATCAAGATTTCCTTCCCTCTTTTCAAACACAGAGCACACTTACCCCTCCCCAAAGGAACTCCCATCTGGTCACTGCAACCAGCTCAAAGTCCAGGACTTCTGGTTCTGTGAAGTTCTTGTTCTTGTCTAAGTCTGGATGTGGCATCTCTTTACCCAGTGTCCTATGAACCAAAAAGAAAGTGATCAATAAACCAAAGTAACAAGTGTGCTCTCTCTCACACACACACACAAACACAAATACACACAAAGTACAAATGGCATAATAGCAATAGGATAACTATAATAAAAATTCCTGTCCAGAAAAGGAAAAAATGGGAGACACACAGCAGTCATTGATACTGCATATGGCCAGGTTGACACACCCACCCTCTGCCTTGTGGATAGAGAAGATTCTTCATAAGGCACCGGATCTGCTCTCTTGGGGAACTCCTTGTCTGTTTTTCTCTATGGCCAGAAGTTATTCCTTCTGAGAGGGTCCCCTTGTCCACCTCTGAGGTGTGTGTTGAAGAGCTGGCCCTCCATGCAGCCAACAGTCCACCTCCTGCTAGTGGAAGAAGTGGTTTTCAGTCTTTCATGACATTTTTCAGATAGGCTTATGGTTATTTTAACAATATAAGTCCCTCAGAAAAATTGGCAGTCTCTTGCAAGCCATCAAATTTATGTATTGTCTCTATTCCCTTTTATTTCTCTTTGTAATTTAACTATTTCTTTCCTGGGCTCATCTTATTCTTGAAACACTTGCCAATGCAGTCAATAGTGTCCACCACACACAACTAATGATTTTCACTGCATTTTCTCCTTCTAGATCTACAAGGTTACTTGGCACACAGAGCCTTCCAAGTTGTGGTAGGTGTCAGTTTAACCAAATGTTTTGTCACTGCAAAACATAGCATCTCACCTTTCCAGCATTTGGTATCAGTTTCCTTGCCACCCACCTCCTGACTATTATGCCAATGCCACCAAGTTTAGGATTTTGTTAGAGCAGCATCCCATGTCCATTACCATTTTGGGTACTGGTCGGGGGAAATAATGCTAGGTGCTGTGTTACATCAAGGTGACTCATAAATAGGTCTTGCTAAGTACCTTATACGTAGTGAGGTGCCTATTAATATTATAGGAAAATGCAGTATTAGGTGTATATATGCAAATCAGTTATTTGAACATATTTGTATTTAATCTTTCGCAATTAAGGAAACCAACACTTAAAGAAATTAAGTAACACATTAGAGATGTGTTACTGGAATCTGGAAGAGATTGATCCAGATATATCTGGAATGGTTGAACCAGGTCTATGACACCACCTGTGCTTGTGCCTCTGGACATCTCCTCAGCAGAAGCCAGAGCAAAAAATATGCTCCACCTTGTTCTCTGCTTTTATAGCAAAGGAAATTTGAAACCTGACCATTTCCCTGTAGTTTTTGATCCTTTTTCTCTTTGCACTATTTCAGAGGTATTACCCTTTGTCCATAGCATAATAATAGTTACTTAAGATGACTCAAAAACACAGTGGAAAATAATCTGTAGTTTTTGAAACAATAAACGAGGTCTTTGTCTCAAAATTTATTTATGTAAGCTTACACAGTGAGCTTACTTAATGGATTGTGCCTGTGTCAACATTTCTATTCTCCACTGAATGGTTTATTTGTTTAATGAATGTTTTCTGTATTCATTTAGGGAATTTTATTATACCATAACCATTCATTAAATCTGGCAGAGGTAACATTGTCGTATGCTTACTCTCTGTACAAGCTTTGACATATTAACCTTCCCTATGGGAACATATATGCAAACCAAAATTGTCAAAACTGTTGGTTGATCTGAGCCTCCACAATACTTTATTCATTCAGTAAATATTTATTAAGCACTTACCATCTATCAGGTGCTGAGCATGACATGCTTTAAGAGAGACTATAAATATTTTTTAAATCACCATTTTCAGTTGACCACACTTTACGTTTGCTGAAACGTCAATACACAAATGTGTGTGTGTGTGTGTGAGAGAGAGAGAGAGAGAGAGAGAGAGAGAGAGAGAGAGATTAATGGCAGTTTGGTAAGTGTGGTGGAAATTGTAAAAATTGCTAACATTGGTTACAGACTTAATGTCAGAAGATTTCTTCAGCTACACGGAAAGACTGCAAAGCAACTTTTCTTCCCTGAGGTTATGATTTGCATACAGAATGAAGGTTAAAATAAGACCAATGCAAATAGCATCACTTTAGATATTTTCCCCTCTTAGGAAAACATAATGTACACTAATTTAAATTTTCAAACAGAAACATTAGGGAGGAATTGTATGGAAATAATTGTGTCAGCAAAAGTGATGTTTAAACACAATTTCACTAACATTATTGTTCCATAAGTAGGAACCTAAACTTTCCTATGTGCTTTTTGCTTCCAGTGAAGTGATACCACTTGGTCTTAAGGCATCACTTTAAAAGGCAAAAGCCACTTGAAGGAACGCGGTGAGAAGAGCGATTCATAAGAGAGAGAAACAGAACTGTTTAGATATCTGAAACCCTTGCTTTTCATTTGCTTCAGCCTGAGGTTTGCAGAAGGACGTCACCCACTCCCACTGATTCCTTACAAGAGTATATATTAAGCTCTTTGAAATGTGAGTATTATGGGAAGGATCACAGCTGCTTTAAATTATAGAAGTTGGCAAGTGCCGGGGAGGAGAGGGAGGTTTTTTAAACTGAGAAAGACAGTTGCAAAACTTTGCACAGCAGCATGAACTCCAAGCTTCAAAAGCATTCTCACGCGCAGACGGGCACTTTATTTTTCATCAAGTTTTTTTTGTGTTGTTTTGAAGCTGCTTTGAATGATAAACACATATTTCTGCTGTAAACTTTTTTTAATGGTTTCTAAACTCATGGGACAACCAAAGCAAGAAAGCCTCATGATTTGGGGCAAGGTTTGATGTCAGCAATGCCTAGAAAAGGTAAGCTTCTATTTTCACTGCAGTTTTTCTCTTTTTTTTCCCTTCTATTTGGCCTTTGTCAACAATATTTACTGGAAAGACTTAAGACAGCTACTTGTAGAGAAATGGGGAACCTGTAGAAAGTATGTTAACAAATGATAAGTCAGAGGTTGGAAAACCTCAGCTGTAGTGTTTTCTCCTACTTTCTATTCCGCTTGTCACAGGAACAGCTGTGAACTATTTTTGACTGTATGAAAAATGCCATTTGTCTCAGAAAGTATGTGTAGATCTTCAAAATCTCCAATCTGATGCGCCTAGCATTCACCAGTGTGGTGATGGGCTCATTTATTGCAAAGGTCAGATTACCTATGTTTTCTTATCCCATGATATGCAGCTCAACTTCCGGAGCTATGATCTTTCTATTAACTCAGAAATCTTTCCCATGGAAGATTTTAACATCCTTCCAGAAGGTCTCTGAAGTGTGCTTACTCTGACTTCTTATAAACTTGTTTTGCAGCCTATGTTTTTTAAAAGTTAAATAAATCGTTTGACTTTTCCTTTGGAGTGACATGAGAGGACCGTTATAGATATTGTGTCCTGGGCAGAGTGAAAAAGTTCAACTCAAAATCTGTGAAGTTTTTGTTGACTGGCAATGCTCTCATCTGAATAGGGTGGCTGTGTCTTCTTGATTGTGCCTCAGAAACAGGTAGGGAGCAGAGAGCCTAAGACAGTCCTGATTTTTCTATGCATGGGTCATAGGAGAAGCATCCCGTGGTTTTAGGTGGAGGGGCAAGTAAACGTCTGCTGTGTCGTTATTATTTCCTTGAGAAAGTCTCTGTTATCAGTGTTGCCATCTTTCTTTCTGAAGCAGAATTCCAGGTGCAAAAAACTAGATATCCACAGAGATCTGCAAATCCCCCCCAGCAGGGTGCGATTTTAGCAGAGCTCACATTCATTCTTCACGCACACACATGTATTCAGAAAGCCCTGTAGGTTTGCTGGAGTTTGAGTGGTTTGGGACATCTAAGCGACCTCAGTCTGTGAAACCCACTGCTGCAGAAACTCTAGCAACAAGCCAGTTAGGCCTGCGTGAGGAAGTGAGATGCTGCCCCGAAGACGCGGCTCTTGGGGTGCAAAGGGCTCTACCTGCTTTGCTGTACCAGCTGTTGATCTGTTTCTGGACTGTTTTTCCTTGTGTGTCAAATTCTGATGACATAAAGTGGATTACAGCGACGTCCCCTGCATTCTGTGATATCAGGGAAAGGAGAGAAATTCAGATCAGAGAGAAGGATGTGATTGTAGAAAACCGAGAAGGCAGTTCCATCAACTTATGGCAAGGTCGCAGGGAGAAAACATTATTTCCTTTCTCCATCCGCATTTGTGAATGGAGGAAGTGAGGGACTGCGCCTGCGGCTTCATTGTCTTGCTCCTTCCCAGACCCTCTCTGCTCTCCCTCTCTCCCTCCTGTTCTGTCCAAGCCAGCCATGCAACCTCAAGAAGGGGAACGGTGGGTTGGACAGACAAGATGATTAGCATCTCCTCCTTCTCGTCCTCTTGGCCATTCCCAGGCCAGTTGGGGAAGCCCCCACCCTATTTGGAGGGGGGTCTCCAGGACCCCACCCTGTGACCTCATCGCAGGCAGCCGGAGAGCTGGGATGGCCAGGGGTTGCGTGGCGCCTGAGTGCACCCTGGGGATGGGTGCGGTCACTAAATGCGCAGTGTGGCGCGAGGTGACTGCCAGGGATGGAGTGCGCACTTCCTATCTTGGGCTCCCATGGCAGCTGGTGGCATTTCTAGAAGCCAGACCCTCCAGGCCCCACCTCTGGGCCCGAGGAGGCCCCAAAGAGGACAAAAACAAAAAAGGAGGGAGGGAGATGCAAGAGGGAGGAGATATGGGGACATATGTATATGTATAACTGATTCACTTTGTTATAAAGCAGAAACTAACACACCATTGTAAAGCAATTATACCCCAATAAAGATGTTACAAAAAAAAAAAGGCAATTAGAGTTTCTAATGAAGCCCCAAGCCAGCTGACTCATCTGAGGCGCAGTCACTGGGGAGCTTTGTGATGAAACCTGGACGGAGCCCTGGAAAGGACAGGTCAGGGTTGTACTGAAAAGGACACTGATGATCAGCCCATTGTGACTTAATCGTGCCTCCTCACCTCAGAGAGGCTGAGAGAAAGGCAACATCTGCGAGGGACAAGGGAGGAGAATATTAACTACTGAGCTGCCAGGGAGTGCAGAAGCCACGCTGTCTGAAACTGTAAAGAGTTGCAACCAGATTTAGCCCAGGTTGCCAGCTACAGCCTCACACCCCAAGTCTGTAGATCAGGACTTGAGAAGCCCCAGACTCCGGAATCAACCCCTAGGGCGCCCGGGAAAAAGACACCATCGCAATTCAATAAACCTTAATTGTGTGTCTACTCAGTGCCAGAACATTTATCAAGGCTTTTTGAACTTGACCCTTGACAGAGAGACCAAATGGTAACAGCCTGGGAAGTTCATGGCAAACACAAAGAGGGGCTTTGCAAATCAGCCTGCTGAAATCAAAGAGAGCTTCTAGTTGCATTTGAACTAGACCTTGGAGGAGGTGTAAAATATCATGGGATAGACAAAAGGGTCAAGAGCATCCAGGCAGAAGCCAGGGGACAAAGGCACAGAGATGTAAAGGTCATGGCTGCTTCCCTGTGGGTGTTGAGGCGCTATTTCCCCAAGTGCATTTCAAGGAATACCAGCTTCATGGGTTATTAACAAGAGGATAACCAAAAGTATTTCCTGGACAGGCAAATTTGTGAAAGTGAAAAACTATATACCACAGAGGACCAGAACTCAGGCTCTCGGGTCACAAACATCTGACTTCAGATCCCTGCTCCACCCCTTAACTGCCATGTGAACTTGGACCCATTCAATCATCAGTTTCTTCATCTGTTAAGTGAGGATCATTATATACATTCTTATGGGGGCATTTTGAGGATTTAATTAGAGAATTCATGAAAAGGGCCTACTATCAATGTGTCTGGCATATAAGAGCTCCATGAATTTTATTCTTACTAGCTATTAGATGCTGGTTTCTTTACTGCAGGAATTCTCACATGTTTTAGTTCCTTAACATGTCCTCTGTCTCTCCATGAGTGGGTCATTAGACTCTAATGTTTCCAACATGTTAGAATATGAAGCCACTTCTTTTCCCCGAAGAGTATCATACAAACCATGCAACTCGAAATGCGTGCTGGAAAATGATTGGGTTGGCCCAATGAGTTGAGGCTATATGGCCTTCAAGCCAATGACGTTTCCCGAGATTTACTTGAAATTTATCAGTCTCCACCAGTCATTTCAAGAATTGTCTTCCATATCTCTATGAAACCAAAGCCCCCAAACTGGGATTCTCCTGTCAAAGGAAACTGACTTTTTTCTTAAAACTATTGTCAATTTTTAGAAGGAAGAGAAAAGTAACAGCAAAGCAAATTCTTGTCCAACTTGGATTTCACACCCAGAAGGGCAACCTCTGCCTATGGTTTGAAGGCCTGTGTATAGAGGGCAAAGCAAGGGCAAAAGCTAGGATAAAACATGATCCCACCTTCAAGGAGTCATCAATTGAGTGGAGAAAATAAAATGTGTGCTCTTATGTCTAAAATGCAAAATTAGGTTTACAAGGAAGGCTATAAGAGGGGTTCAAAGTGAATGGGAATTCAGAGAAAAGGAGACCTTGGGTCCCTGGAATAATCAGAGTAATAGGTAACATTCTTTGACATATACCAAGTGTAAGGAATTGTGCTAAGTACTTTACAATATGATAACCCATGTGTCCTTTATAAGGTTACAAGGTGGGTGTTGACTTGCCCATTGCACAGATGAACAAACTGAGCCCTAGAGAAAAGCAGTAACCTGCCAGAAGTCTTCCACGAAGTAAGGGGCAGAGCATGGTCTCAAACTCAAGTCCATGTGATGCTCTGTATCCCTTACCCAGGAAAGACTCTTCAGAGGAGATAATGTGTCACTTGGCCTTGAAGAATGGATAAGGATTAATGGGAGGGGAATTTCAGGCAGTGAAAAGAATATCAACAAAAGTATGAAAGAGACCAATGTGGGGAGTAGCAGGAAAGCCTCCCTGGTAGAACAAAGGGTTTGCATAGAAAGAAGAGGGAAATGAGCTCAAAAGACTTGGTTGGATCTTAAAAGTTTTCACCACAAGAACAAAAATTTATAAGTACATTTGGTGATGGATGTTAACTAGACTTATTGTGGTGATTATTTCACAATATATACAATTACTGAATCATTATGTTGTACACCTGAAGCTAATATAATGTTATATGTCAATTGTATCTTAATTTAAAAATAGAAAAAAATTAAGAAAATTCTAAAAAAGAAAATGTAAGAAAATGCATTAAGCTAGAAAATGTTGGAAAATAGTGTTATATTGTTATAGAAATGTATAATGAATAAAAAGTTATATTATTTTCTGGAACAATTTCAAAAAAAGACTTGGTTAAAAAAAAAAAAAAAAAAAAAACGGGGCTGAAATCAGATCCTAGAAAGCCTTGAATGCCAAACCACAAAGTTTGGATATTTTTAATGGAGGAATCATTAAAACTTTGTAAACAAGAAAGTAACAAGAACGTAACTCCCTGGTGGTTCATTAGAATAATAATTTAAGATGATTAATTGGTCTGTACAGCAGGGGCAGAGACTAAACCTCCAGTTAGGAAGAGATGTTTGTCCAGGTGGGAGATGGCAGTAGTTGGTGCCACAGCAGCTAAGGGATGAAGATGCTCATTGGACCCAGTCTCCTAAACCTGCTACACCAAAGCCTTGACTGTCATAGTGGTCTTTCAAAACAACAAACTTGAGACCTCACTAAATCCATATTTAACCCTTAAGATGACAGGGGGTGGGAATGGAAGGTCCAAGAGGAGCTGGTTGACCTCTGAGAGCCTTCTCAGCTTTCAATCTCCATGGAGATAAACTCTAAGCACTTTTATGGAAATCACTAACCATACAGTTCCCTATTCCATC